TGTAACAGCTGGTACTTGTAGTACTGACGCCAAATTTCAATCTTGTATGCACATCGGTACATGAAGGGTACTGTTTGATATGTGTACATTTAAAATGGAAATTTGTCGACTATTAAGCCGCCATAATCCAACTCTGGACGGAAGTTGGATCAACATGTAAATCATACCATACACATGTTTCAGATCAAGAAACACCTTATGTCGCCGATTTAGAAAGTACAGGTCTCGCATTTAAGAGAAGTGTGCAGACATGACCATAAACACACTTATGTCAGAGCTAACACATTGTAAAGACCCAACGAAACATAATTTAAGATATCTTAGCATAAGGGTGTCGTCTAAGTAATCTTGATTTTAATGAATATACTATTGAAAGTTCACCAGAAATTACACTTAATAAATCTTGTCATTGTTCTCCTCTGAATATTTGAATACTATTCCTTCAAAAAAAAAGGAAAGGAGTGATAAGGTATAAACAGAAAAAAGTCTCCATACATCCAGTTGTGACAATCGTATAAACTTTATACGTTTAGTTCTGATACTCCTTGTGTGTAGTTTATATTTCTGAGCCGATTTGACATTGAAGTAAGCGTGTCTGCAGCAATGTGTTGGTAAACTCAAATAATTAACTTTCACGTATAGTTTTAAAGCAATGGCTTATTTGTTAGTAAAGTTGTTAGTTATTTATTGATCTATTTGTTTTCAAATTATTTGTTTTATCTGTTGTTGAAGTAGCAGTTTTTTTTAAGAAGTTGTAAGTCTGTGCTGAATTCATATCCTCTAAACCCTTGACCTTACTGAAGACCGGATGTTGAACTTTTAAAAGATGTCTTTTTGCTTTCTTATGTTGCTGACTTTGTGTCCCGTTGATATTTATTCTTTTTTTTCATATCTGATCACTGGTAATATTCTTTGTTTAAACAGCCAGATTATTAATCTCAACATGGTGTTTTGAAGTAGATATACCACAACCGGAAAATAAATATGCATAAAAATGCATTCGTTCTAAATGCATTGCACGATTTTATTATGAGTATTAGCACTATGGAAAAAAGCTGTTGTAATTTTTCCCACATAAATACGATTCTATTTTAACACCAATACCATGCAGTTACTGGTATACTCATACTGTTTGAATGACCTCAACGTGGTAAAACCAATCAAAGAAAGTCAACGTGAGACTTGCTTTCCTTTTAAAAAATGGTAAATAAACGAGGCGAAGAAAATCTCCGATGGGGATCAATGGTCTAAGTGGTGGTTTTTTTTTTGGCCCCCTACTGGAGATCGGCCACAGATGTCAGGATCTACACCATTGCATCCATTAAGACATATGTTTGTAAATCTTCAATTTAAATGAATTTTCACGTTTAACACGGTAATTCAAAAAATAGATAAAATCCCCTTTCACGTAATGCATATAATTACCCGTATTAAGGAGGTAGTACATGTAAATTTGATCCCATCTGATACACTAACGACTGAAACACAGCACTATGACACCTCCGCTTTGTTACTTCTCACATGCAGCCGGATTGAAAAGCGAGCTGTTGGTTATTGTTTAAATCTTTGACAGCCATTGTGCTGCTAGGAGTCTGCGGTGTGGATAAAAGAAAGATTCTTCCTATATCGCACATAGATAGAAAAGTATAAATGGCGCCTTTTGTTTTTGTATCGGATATGAGTAGTTGTTAATGATCTTAGAAATCCACAGTGGTATGGATCTAAAGTTCATTTGACTGTACAATTAGGTATAAATGAATTCGCCACCATGAAAAGACGGAACTTGTATTGAGGAAAGTAAAAAATAAGTTTCATTAAGCCTTAAGGAGACGTATATATTAACATTATCTTCGGAAAATCTCACCTAGACCACATTCAATTATTTTGATTTTTTTTTACTTTGATGTCCATGATTAAGAGTGTAATCTTAGTGTTTTCCATTGGAAATCATATAGCAGTGAATTAATTTCTTTTAATAAAAATTAGAAAGAAGAAACAACCACGAATATTAACATTCAACGTAGATTTGGTAGTAGTGGTTTTAAATGAACAACTGGTAATTTATCTGGCAAGTAAGCACTTTTATCGAAAAGGAAACCAAACATTTGACAATCTTCAATTACAGCATAAACCAAGCCATTAAAAATAAGAGGGGGAAACATTGGAATTTGTTTTTCATAACACCTTCATTACATGTTAACTGTTACAAAGAAAATGTTTTTGTGCAAATTAAGTTAGAACAGATTATGAACGGCTCCAAGTAAAGAACATATACGTGATATTGGATGATCTTCTCTGATTTTTTTTCTCTTGTTCCAAGCATTTTATGTTAGTCTTTTTTTTATTAGTCCTATGTGTATACATAACAAAACAAATGCACACAATGCGCTGTGTTAGTTTTCACACCAACCTTCTCAATTAAATCTCAAAATTAAAGTTTTAAAGCCAAAGATTTATTAATATCCAAAATGGTCAAAGGCTCATTATAAACTTAAAACAAATAATTTATTTCGTAGTTTGAAATATGGCCGAATCCGAAGCACTAACAAAAAGACTAACAAGTCTACAGACTTATCGACTTATACTGATAAATCTACCAACAGATATATCAAAATACATTGATTACTTACAGTCTACCAACAAAGTTATCGACCTCTTCTGATTACTATTTGTCTACAGAGCTATCGGCATATACTGATTACTAACATTCTTCCATCAGTAATATCGAAATATACCAATTACTAACAGTCTACAAAGTTATCGACATGTACTGATTACTTACAGTCCACCAACAGTGCTGCAGACATAAACTGAATACAAACAATCTACTGAGACAGCTATCGACATTCGACTAATACTGATTACTAACAGTCTACCGAGACAGCTATCGACATTCGACTAATACTGATTACTAACAGTCTACCAATAGAGATATCAACCTATACGGATAAAAAATAGTCTACAAAGTTATCCACATGAACCGATTAATAACAGTCTACAAAGAAAGGTATCGACATGGAGTGAATACAACAGTCTATGGAAAGAATTATCGACTTGTACTGATTGCTCACAGTCTTCTTACAGAGTTATCAACCTATTCTTATTACTAACAGTCGTCAAAGTTATCGACTTACACAGGTTACTAAAAGTCTACAGAGTTATAGGCCTATATTGATTACGTACAGTCTACCAACAGTGTCATCTACATATACTGAATACTACCAAACTTCCAAAAGAGCTATCGACATAAACTGATTACTAACAGTCTACCAACAGAGCTATCGACAAACAGTAATTATTAACAGTCTACCAACTGAGCTATCGACATATACTGATTACTAGCAGTCTACCAAAAGAGATATCGACATAAACCGATTACTAGCAGTCTACCGACAGATCTATCGACAAAATCTGATTACTAACAGTCTAACAAAAATATGTCGATATAAGCTGATTAAAGCAGTCTACCAACAGAGCTATTGAAATATACTAATTTCTAGCAGTCTACCGATAGACCTATCGTCATATACTGATAACTATCAGTCTACCGACAGACCTATCTTCATATACTGATTACTAGCAGTCTACCGACAGATCTTTCGTCATATACTGATTATCAACAGTCTACCAGCAGGGTATTGGCATATTCTGATTACTAACAGTCTACAATAGAGCTATTCACATATATTGATTAAATAGGTAAACCAACAGAGCTATTGACACATACTGATTACTAACAGACTATACAGTTTTAGACATATCCCGATGACTAACAGTCTACCAACAGTGATGTCGACATATACGGGTTATTAACAGTCTACCAACAGTGATATCGACATATCCTGATGACTAACATTTTACCAACAGTGATATCGACATATCCTGATGACTAACATTCTACCAACAGTGATATCGACATATCCTGATGACTAACATTCTACCAACAGTGATATCGACATATCCTGATGACTAACAGTCTACCAACAGTGATATCGACATATCTTGATGACTAACATTTTACCAACAGTGATATCGACATATCCTGATGACTAACAGTCTACCAACAGTGATGTTGCCAATAACGGTTATTAACAGTCTACCAACAGTGATAAATTACTAACAGTCTACCAACAGTGATAAATTACTAACAGTCTACCAACAGTGATAAATTACTAACAGTCTACTGACAGTGATGTCGACATATATCGGTTATTAACAGTCTACCAACAGTGATATCGACATAAACTGATTACTAAATTAGACTATATAGTTTTAGACATATACTGATTACTAACAGTCTATCAATAGTGATGTCGACATATACGGGTTACTAACAGTCTACCAAAAGTGCTATTGTTATATATTGGATCATATCGATCGTACTGCGTTCAAGTGATTCAATGGATGAACCGTCATCGTTAACGCTCAAAAGTAAAGTATAGAGAGTTATAATGAACTTTGTAATTAATTCTAGGTCTATGAAATGTTTATTTAGAATCTCCGAGAACTTTTCCTGATTTTTTTTTGTAGTGAATCCTAAACCGAACTTGTCAACACTTTCCATAAAGATTTCTGTTCTCTTGAAGCATTATACTTTTTTCCGTTCCATGTATTAACATTTAACTCTTTCAATTAAGTGTATTATATGTTTTATTTGTGGTGTAGTTTTCATTTGTGTCTGAAAATCACTTTCTTTTTTCTTCCGATAATAACCAGACAAATTTGATATGACAATCATTGTGTATTGAATAATACTAAAACTTAACATATCTAAGTGTCAGCGTATAAAATGTCGGCTAGTCCAGCAAAAATCGAACGTTCGTTTAGTCTTGTAATCGAAACTGAATATCAAATGAACAGACGTGTTATATTTCTTTACAAACATTATTTAATAAAACTAACTGTAATAGAGATATGTAAATTTTATTTTCCTCCGAATGATATTTAATGTAAATTATTCGGGATCTAATTGCCGGCTAATTCATTCGAGGCTCAGCCTTCGCTTTTAACACAAAGTTAATACGAGTCGTACTGATAAGGTTTGCAAATGAGTGTTTTCCTTAGCATATTTACACAGAATTGGCATTGTAAATTAAAGTATACACAAGTCACGAAGTGGTTTCCTTTTTCAGACGGTGCCTCTTCAGGAAACGGGCATTGATCATTTTCATCCTGTATAAAATATTAATACAATTGCATGACACCGGGTTTTCTCATACTTCATTACAATTGCTAATGCGAAATCTGAATTGCACTGACAAATTTTGCATAATACTGAAAGCTAGCGCCACAAACTATCTTTTTCCAGTAGGCGATCGGCCGTCGACAGTTGAACATTATAAAGATTTTATTTCTCTAAAAGGATATTTACATAATTTTACTTTTCATAGTTATACATTTACATAGAGCGGAATGTATTTGTTATTCAGCTCATTACTATGTGATATCACGTCTCTCAAATGAACAATCAGGATTCACACAACACTTCGGACATGATTTAAATGTTGTGTCCAGTTGGTCAAAGCTTTAAGATGCGTTAACACGGATAAGATGACCCAGTACCTGTCTTCTACCCGTTCTGGTACATTACATCAATTTATCAAGGTAAGTGATCTCACCTTCTTTATACACCACAGTCAATAAACACACGTTTAAGGTTCTATCATATTCAATAACAGTTTATAATAGTACACACACGTAACATTTTATTTTTCCTATTATATAAGATTGTGAATGAAGACCTCGTTGACTAATACTGTGTTTTTCACTTTTTTCATATCTGTGTATGCGCATGCGTGCAATGTTTTTGTTTTTGTTCTGTAATATTATTAAAATAAAATCTAAGAAGTGAAACATATGCTACCTTGTTTCTAAAATAAGTGCCTATTTTCAAAATTAATATATCATCATGTTACTTTAGTTTAGTCACCCCCCTCCAAAAAAAAAACATAGAATATTTAATTATTGAACTTTTTCTTAACACTGAGTTGAAAACGAAGTAACTTATCACATGATTGTTCGTTTGATTGCTTTATACGTTTTGAAATTATATGAGAAGTGTAATCTATTCTGATGACAATAAATGTTATCTTAATTAGTCTTTCTAGATAAAAAATCAGAATATCTGATTTTTTCCAAATTCTAATTGTATTATCCCAGTCTATATTAAGAATTCAAGCCCCGATAATAATTATATTATATGTGAGGCTAAATTTTGACTGGGGTAAAGTTTCAATAAGTATTACTAAATATTTTTCACGTCATTACTTGTATATAGAAAATCGTAGGTTAAAATATATGAAAATGTGGAAAATTCTTATGAGATATTCGCCCAACAAAGACAAAAAAAAAGCACATGAAGTCAATATCTGCCATCAACAGGTCAACAGGTCAACACAAATGGAATGCCCCTTTGGTGTCTTCTTATATATCCTAAGGGCAAAACTGTGGTACTTTATAAATACATCATACACATAACCGTTGTAGTCTACATTCGCTTTGGGTACTTTTTATTATTTATCAATCAATTTTTTTCCACATCCTCACTAATGTAAAGTGCTCTGATACCATATGCAGTTTATTTGTCTTGTGCTAACAGTTATTGATTCATTTAGTTCTTTAAAGGTAGTTTCCAATTAACTATTTTCAATTAAGTAAATCTATGGCCCTATTTAATCTTACACTGTTTACTAATGTGTTATAATTTGCATGTTTTGACCCGTCTAAGATTCATGTTTTTAATTTGTTATGTTAAGATTCTTATGCACCAACTTAAATTTTAAAGATTATAGTAACTCTAACGATATAATATAGTAACTCTAACTATATAATATAGTAACTCTAATGATATATAATATATGTAAAGGTTGTAATTACGGGGAAACAGCGACCTTCAAAATCCTCCTTAGTCATGAGGCCACTCACTGTAAAAGAGAGGCGAAAGATACCAAAGGAACATTCAAACTCACAAGTTGAAAATAAAATGACAACGCCATGACTAATAAAGAAAAAGACAAACAGACAAATAACAGTACACAAATCACAACATAAAAAACTAAAGCCTGAGCAACAAGAACCCCACCAAAAACTGGGGTGATCTCAGGTGCTTCGGAAGGGTAAGCAGAGACACACATAGTATGAATAGTGTCCGTCGATATATATGCGAAATATAGTTTGATCATGTAGAAAATATCGAAAACGATTTTAAAAAGGGAATCGAAACTGGAAAAAGACAAATAAACGCCACAAGAAGTACAGACAGCCCAGAAGTACTTATATCTATACTTGTTTAGTCAGTGGACTCGTGACACTCACCATCCCGCTATTTGTATGATGCATTATCGTCTGATATGACTGATCGATGCAAGTAAACAGGAGTAACAAGGCGAGTTATACTAGAGAAGCAGGAAATGTCAACTCTTACGGAGCACCTGCATTCAATCCCAGTTTTTGAGGTGTTAGTATTGTTTAATCTTTAATCTTTTGTTTTTGTGTAATAATATTTTGTGAACTGGTTTGCCTTTACTTATTTTTTCTTTTGACAAGGATGTTGTCTGTTTTAATTGGACATGCTTTTTAACACCCCCCTCCCCCTCCACATTCAACTATTTGGAAATTTATAGTTTGATTTCACATGTATATACGAGTTTTGAAAATTCCTTGCATTGAAAGTTTAACCACCAGGATTATTTTGTTTAAGGGTTGTGTCAAATGCCTTCCGCTAATATAAACTCTTCCATTATACCCGGCTGTAAACTTAAACTTTCTGTACTCAGAACAGATTTAGAACAGAGGTCTACAGAGTCAACTGTTTTGAACTATTTTCGAGTAATGCGAATGAGGAAATAATTTTGTAGACATTATAAATGACATGTACATTATATGTCACTTCAAAATGAAATTAAACTGTGTTTCTTATGATAAATGTTGTTTAACTTTTAAGGTCACGCTTGAAAGCAAACAGGACGGGCGTTTTGGTAAAGTCGTAGTTTTTTTCAATTTCCTTTCCATAAATGTCACTAATTTATTATTTAATTTTAATTTAGTCCTGTGTGGGAATTAATTAGTTTACAAAATATATTTCTAATTGAATTTCAAAACAATAGTGAGTTCAGACAAACACCAGCTAATGGGATTAGTTTGGTTCTGCTGCTTGTGATTTTTGTTGCCACCAATATAATTTCTGGTTCGTTTTTTTTTCGGTAACACGCAATACAGTTTGTTATAACTTTATCGATACAAACTTTCATTTGAAAACACAAGAGTCAGTCACTAAGATAGCAAAGGAAACTTCGTCATGGTAAACGCCCAGCGCACAATTATATATAGCTGTAGCTTAATTGATATTTTAAGAAACAAATAAATGCACCACTTTCTGTTTTGTTTTTGTTGTGTTTTCTTTGTCTTTCTTTTTTTTTTATTGTTTCAATTCTAATAAATTTAATACATTTTTTTCTTTTTGGGGGTGTTAATTTTTTAAAAGATGTTAATGAAGATTAATGATTTGTTCTTCCCATCTATCATTGATATTTTATGGGTTTTTTTTTCATCCTTTTGAGTATTTGGTGCTAAGTTACGCCATAATTTTGTCTATCTGAACGTCAATCTTTTGAAGAAGAATTTGAGAAAAATACATTCAACAGATAAAATAACCTTACTCATTTCTGTATTTTGCTAGACCGTCGTATTTCTTTTTTAATCTTGTTTTTGTTAAAAGTGGGTTTTTTTGCAGGTCTCAATTAAAATTTTTGTAATATTTGGTCATCATCGTTTCTGTAATATAAAAGAGCTAGGGTCAGTTTTCTCTCGATTCATTTCACACCAGGACCATTTTTAAAATGTCTTTCAATCTTCACTTAAATTCACAGTATCATAGCTCAATGTATGTTTGACTTAAATTTAATCAGATTAGAAAGTTATAAAATGGGTTTCTAATTCAATTTCAAAACAATATTGTGTGTAGATTGCCTTTTTTGGTGTCTTTGACTTTTTCTTATTTTTCCGATAGCATACTATACAGAATCTTATAACTGACTACACTGTAAAAGTCGTGCTTAGAAATTAAACACTTGTATTACATGTTTAGATCTCAACGTGTTTAGGATTGTGTTTAATTTCTAAACACATTTCTCAGTAAGCACATAATATCTAAACATGTCTTGAATTTAAACACTTTTAATGTGTTTAAAAATGAAAGTGTTTAGAAATTAAACACTTTTTTCTAAGCTAAACACGATTCTAAACACAATCCTAAACACATTGTACTGAGACACGTTTAGATCTAAACATGTAAAAAAAAGTGCACAAAAGATGTGCTTAGAAATGTGTTTAGGATCTAAACACCATTTTTACAGTGTAGGTACAACCTATCTCTAAAGTTAACTCAAAACAACGATTTTGACAGTGTTTGGCTAACAACTGCCCTCAACAACAATATGTAGCGCTGAATGACATTTAGATTTTATGTAAATATATAAAATTGTGAAAACACATATAAACCCTCTTTTAATTTAAAATTCCAGTAGGAATTCTTCTTTGAAAAGGATGGTCCTGAAGTTGTGTTCAAGTCTGTTCATGGAATTTTCGTAATGGCTTCCATACCTTTATATTGATTGATGATTTTATAGCCTTTCTTGAATTGTAATTTACCTTAACCTGTTGCTTATTCAAGCATAGACTGCATGTGAAACACCTATTTGGTTCAGATAACAGAATTCCAATGTCAAGTTAGTTTATCAATTCCATGATATGTTTGCTTGTCTGGTCCTGTTTGACTTTTCTATCTATAATCGAAAAAGTAAACGAAGAAAATTACCCTGGTTTAAGGTTACAACGATTATGTAATGTTATTTTTAGAAGGTAGTCACACAAGATAATTCTAAATACTTAATCTCAAATTTAAACAGCCAAGATGTTCTAATGTCTATAATTACCATAGCTGCTGAAGCGTATCGCATCAAATGGGCCGAATCTGATATAACCGATCTTCTTATTACAGACGTGTGATTTACAGCTGGTAATTATAGGTTTTAAAAATACATGGGTAATAACATTTAAGATTATTTTATTACCTTTGAATTTAAAAACTTTAACTAGACAGCAAATCTCTGGAGTGTGCTTTACATGCATCAAACATAAAGCACGCGATTCAATGGTTTACGAAGAACAACCTGAAATATTGTCTGGATGATTCATTATTGTTTTTCTTTAGAATGTAAATACCAATTGTTGTCTATATAAGAATAAGAGGATGTGGAATGGTTGTCAATGAAATAAACCTCCATCAGAGACCAAAGGGTGTAGAAGTTGGCAACTATGTCCTGATATTCTTGAACAATGTTTTCTTAATTGGCGGGTTTATACAGTGTGTGCTCAGTCCAAAATATGTTTATAGTTGTTTTAGTCATGAATGTCTGATGGGACATTGTTAAAATCATGTTCCTAGTTTGGAATTTGATTGGAAATCGTAGTAATTATGAAAACACACTGGTAATAAATGAAACAAACTATGGTGTTTGGAGAGAACTTTATTTTCATTTTCGTGTTGTCATCGACACCTTATATGAATATTTATCAAATACGCAAAACAAATAATTTTACCACAT